TGTTTTTTCTTTCTTTTTTCTTTTTTTAGTGTAAAGGAGTAGTCCTTGAAAGCTGAAAATGTAATCACAGAAAAGGAGCAGGGATGTTCAACTGTAAAAGATGTGGTGATCCTGAAAGATAAATCTATGACACAGTAGTACCTTTAATGAATTAGAAAAAGAACCAATATAAGTAACCTTTAAAAGTCATTTCACTGAATCTAAAAAACAAAGCATGGAAATGGAGAAAAGAAATCTACAAGAAGTAGCACGGAACTGAAAAGTGTAGGCAGAGGCAACTACCACAAATAACGAGGTCAGGAGTCAGAGAGAAAGAAAGAGACAGACAGAGACAGAGTCAGAGAGACAGAGAGAGGCTACTTGGGCCACTCTGACATTCATTGAGTCATAACAGAATTGCTGTTACTGAAACCCACTTCCCACACCAGCTACAGATGACCAAGATGATAACCCTCTACCTCCTTTTTCCACTTGAGCTTCTTCATGGGAACCTGAAACCTTTTCTTTTGGGCATATGGTGGATTTTTATTTACCTTTGTTTTAAATATTTCCTTAGTCAGTCAATAAACATTTATTAAGTGCCTATTTGTGCCAGGCACTATGCTATATCAACATGTTTCTATGTAAAGAGTAGATTATATTTATTAGAAGTATAGTTGGTAGGAAGCATCTATGCGAAAAACATCCCCACAGAAGAATTAGAGAGAAAGATCTAATACTGAGGTGTTTTGCCAGAAGCATTATATCTGACTGGGAACTTACAGCTAACAAAAAGATAAAGACCATTATAGGTTCCTTGTTACTGCTTTGCAGAGTAGTAAAGCATTTATTTTTGAGAAACCCATTTGGGGGAAGTATCCATAGTAGAGTGAGTGTAAAATAGGAGTGGCTGAAAAACCATGATCACCACATTGTAAATTTAGTATTAGTATTAGTATTTAGTATTAGTAAATACCAAATGAATGATGTTGCCTTGTCTAAAGCTTTTTTTGCATTATTTAATTAATAATAAGAATAGCTAACATTTATGAGGCACAGCCCTCCATTGAGAGGTAGGGGACAGGAATTGTATAGATCTAGAGAAAAGGGTTTGTAATAGCTGCTGAAGAGAGCATGATCATCAATCAGGAAAAAATTAAAAGACTGTAGTGAGGACCCAATTGAGATTAGATAAAGAGTTTCTAGTGTAACCAGTTGGTACAGTTGTTTTACTTTCTCCAGAAGAATTCTTAAGTTCCTGAGTAAGAATAATAACAGTAGATGATGAGGGTAACATAGGGTTGGGAGTTTGGCAAAAGAGAACTGGTAATCAAGCAAAATGGGAAGGAAGTCCAGGGTAGCTAATAATGTATAGTTGTACTTACAAGACTTGGAAAAGAAGGAAGTGAGGCAAGAGGAGAACAGGTAGGAGTATAGGAAGTGGAAGTTATAATGAGAAAAGAGAATGGATTTAGAGGGCAGAATGAGATATTGATAAAGAAAACAATGTGGTCAAGCAGTAAAGTATACTAGAAAAATGGGGGAGGGGAGAGAGAGAATCCCACTTATAAAAAAATAATTATGGTGATAAGAATGCTCAAGACACAAACCCTGAAGAAGAGAATGACTCCTAAACATTACATTCAAGGCCTCAAAGAAAGACACAGCTTGGGCACAAATTCAACTAGAAATTCTGGAAGAAAGTTTTTTTTTAAAGAGTTTAAAGAAGTGTTTGTTTTTTTTTAAATAAATGAAATGAAAGTGCTAAAGGAAAAATATATAGAATTGGAAAGGGAATTAATAGTTTGGTACAGGAAGTACAAAACCTTACCCAAGCAAAAAAAACTCCCTGAAAATTAGAATGAACCAAATAGAAAACAGTGACTTCATGAGACAATGAGAAAAATTAAAATAAAGTCAAGTAACTGAAAAGGTCAAAGAAAATATAAGATATCTTATAGCAAAAACAACTAACCAAGAAAACAGATTGAGATATAATTTAGGAATCACTGGAATACCTGAAAGTCATGACTGAAAAAGGGCCTAGACATCTTGTATCCTTACAGGTTCTGAGTGTACTTTGGAAGGTTGACAATATATGAAATTATAAAAGAAAAGTGCCCAGACCTCTTAGAACCTGAGGGCAAAGTGTAAATAGGAACAAAAAATTGGTCACTTCCTGAAACTCCAAAATGAAAACTCCAAAGAACATCATAGTCAAAATCCAGAGTTTTCCAAGAAAAAAAAAATACTGCAAGCACACAGAAAGAAAGAATTCAAGTACTTAAAAGTCAGTCAGATCACATGTGATTTAGCAGTCACCACTGAAAAGAAGCAGAGAGCTTGGGACACGATAATCAAGAATGCCAAAATTCTAGGCTTAGAACCAAGAATAATTTATCCTGTACAACTGAGTATAATCCTTCAAGTTGAAAAATGGGTCTTTAATGAAATAAAGGACTTCCAAGTGTTTCTGATAAAAAGACAAAGCTGCATAAAAATTCAGAAGTTCAAACACAGGAGTCAAGAGAAATGTAAAATGGTAAATATTAACAATAATAAGGGACAAACAAGGATAAACTGTTTATATTCTAATATGGAGGGATGATAAATATGTAAACCTTCAACCCTATAATCATCAAGGGGCATAAAGAGAGTCTAATTAGACAGAGGGACTGAAAGTGATTCTGTTATATCTCGATAATGTTAAGAGAAGAATGGAAAGAAAAGGGAAGGGAAGAGGAATACATCTGAACCTCACTCTCATTTGAAGTGGTCAAAAGACGGAAGAAAATATACACCCCTCCCCCCCACACACATCTGGTTACAGAAATACATTTCACTCATCAAAAAAATGGGAAGGAAAGGAGAGAAGAAAGAAGGATGAAGTAAAAGAAGGGTAGATTAAGGAAGGGATTAATCTAAGCAAAACAATCTCTAGGGATATATAAAAAACATTTATAATAGCTCTTTTCACAGTAGCAAAGAATTGGGAATTAAAGGAAGTGCATATCAAGTGAGGAATGGCTGAACAAATTATAGTATATGAATGTAATGGAATAGTATTGTGCTATAAGAAATGATGAAAGGAATAGGGGCAGCTAGGTGGTGCAGTAGATAGAGCACCAGCCCTGAAGTCAGGAGGACCTGAGTTCAAATCCGGCCTCAGACCAAACACCTGATACACTTACTAGCTGTGTGACCCTGGGCAAGTCACTTAACCCCAATTGCCTAAAAACAAATAAATGATCAAATAAATACATAAATAATGGGAGAAATAATTTCAAAGAAACCTGGGGATACTTGTATGAAAAGTGAAATGAGCAGAAGCAGGAGAACAATTTATACTAAGACATCAATATTGTAAAGGCAACTTTGAAAGACTTTGGAACTCTGATCGTTATAATGACCAACCATGATTCCAGAGGATTAATGATGAAACATGCTACCCACCTCCTGATAGAGAGGTATGGGGTTCAGAGAGTACAGAATGATGCTTTTTAAAAAAAATATGGCCAATGGGGTTTTACTTTTCTTTCTTATTAATGGGGGAAGGAAGGAGAAATGAAAGTAAAGGAAGACAGATTTTCATTAATAGGGGAAAAATTTAATTTTACAAAAATGAACATGGAGAATTACTGTGGATCCTTAGTGTCTCTGCTTCTAGCTGGGGAGCCAGGATCTTTCATAATTCTGAAGAAAAATAAAGGAGCTTCATCCTAAAATGGCAGAGAAAGAGGTATGTATCACATGTATCACAATAACTCATCTCCCAGTCTCTGAGTACTTTGACCCTACTTCCAAGTAACTTAAGTGGGATACAGTGGTGAAAGGACTGGATATGGAGTCAGACATTTACTACCTGTGTGACTTTGGGCAAACCTTTCTGGGGCTAGGCTTCCTCATCTGTAAAATGAGGGGTTTGACCAGATGACCTTAAAGGTTTAGTCCAGCTTTAAATATATGCCATGAGGAACATAAGAAGGGTGGACATCTAAGCAAAATTTTGAGAATGTAGGGCATGTTTCCAGGAAATAAAGGTGCAGCTAGAAGCCTTCAAAGCAGCTCTCCTACCTGCAAGTCTGAATCAATCCTGTCCTTGTTCCCTCCTCCAAAGAATTCCCTGTCAACAACTTATTCCCAGGTACTTCACCCTCCCCAGGAATCTTAAGGTCTCTGGGGAATAAACGAAAAGTAGCTCTTTACCACAGAAAATCTGGATGATTCTACCCTACAAGATCTTAAGCAGGTTTATAACAGATTTACCGAATGCAGTCCAAGAACCACTTAATACAAGCGACTCTGTTGACCCTTAAGTGAGAGGTCATGTATTGCCTCAGCAGCAATTCTTTTCCTCTCATTTCAGCACCCAAAAGATGTTCCAGTTTTGGTCCCCAGGAAAGCCAAAACCCTTCCAAAAATCATGGAATAAAATTTCTCTTTTTATTGGTATATATCTTGTAAAGGAACTTTTCCACAAATGGCTAGTTGTCTAATAAAAACTTTGAGCAATCTGACCCACTAACCAGAAAGTGGACTGTATTCGACAATACATTCACTCGGGAGTCATCTTGTGTTCCATTAGCTAGAAAGCTGCATATAGGTCTTATCTCCCCTATTAGACTATAAGCTACCTGAGAGCAGAAACTATACATAATTCACCTCTGTGTCCCTCAGAGTGCTGAGGTTACACATAGATATTTGTCAAATGAATGAATAAAATGAAGAAAAGAGACAGAACCCCACAAGGGCAAGACAGCACCAAAGGGAAGGTTTTAAGGAGTCTCTGCCCTACAGGTAACTTTAGTAGACAAAATCCTGGACTTCGAAGTCAGGAGTTCTGAGTTTTATCTCAGCTCTTCTAGTTATGTTGTTGTGTGACTATGATCAAGGCAAAGAATACAAAAATGTCGGAGCTGATGGGGGCCTAGGGACATCAGCCAAATCTAAGTCTCTTGACCTCTCTAAGCCATAGTTAGCTCATCTACTGAAAAAAAGAAACAATAAAGGTACTTGGACTCCTTGTTTTACAGAGCTGTAAAGGACTACACTGGGTGTTCCTTAAAGTATAAGAGAGATAGGAGTTACCCTTCATGCTTTTGCTGAGGTTGGCCCTGCTTACTTTACCTGGAAAATGGAAGCTCTTCAAGCAGGTATATTTTGGACATGTTCAGAGCGATGACATTTCAGCCAGTGTTTTCCCTCAGCCCTTAGCTTCCCATTTGTAAAGTAAATGGTTTGACTGGATGACCACTAATATAGGAGAGCTTCACTAACAAGCTAGGAACCTGTGGCTTTTCTTCCTAAATAGGTTCTGCTACCCCTCAGGGGGAGATGAAGGGAAGAAAGAAGGTAGAAAGGAGCCCTGAACTGAGTTCCATATTTCTGCCACGGAGCTGCATTTCCCTTCACTCTCCCCACCTTAATCATGCCTATATGCCCTGCCTAGAAAGTCCAATGAAGCTCCCTATAAAATAACACAACTAAGAAAAAGATTCAGGAGTTTTGGAGAACCAGAAAAATATGCGAGTTGGAAAGGACCTCAGAGAACATTTTCTCCAGCCTATACCTGAATAAGAACTATCAATCATACTATCTCCAACAAGCAGGCCTCTAACTTCCTCTTGGAAACCTTGAGCAAAGGGAAACTCATTACCTACCAAGCTACGGTGTTACACATTTGAAAGACCCTGACCATTCTGAAGTTTTCACTTGAGCTGAAATTTGAACTTCTTTCTGTAACTCAAAATTCTGCCCTCCAGGGCCATGCAGAACAAGTTCTAGAAGAAGGTGAGGAGAAATGGTAGCTATGGCGTGGTAGGCACTTCACAATCCTTCGGTGTTCTGGACATCTCTTTTTAACTGTTAATTCACTGTAGAGAGGAGAAATTAACTCTGTTTCATCTTTAAATGCTACAACTAGGCATAGGAGTCTAGCAAAATACTTAGAATTGAATTAATTCTGTAACAAGTAAAAATTCCATCTTAACAATAACAATTTTAAATGTGAACATTTTCTCCCCAACAGAACTGTTTTAGTTCCATGAAGGTAGGCCCAGAGTAATAATGCTTTATTAATCTGGTCAAATTAACAAATTCTAAACAGACAAAGTCCTGAGTTGTGAAGACCTTACACTCTTACAGAGATTCAACATGTCTGACTAAAACTTTCCTTACAATCGTTATCTTGTAAGGATTACTAACCATTCCTCAATCTTGATACTTCATCTCCCATCCTTTTTTTTCTTTTATCCTGGAGAAATAAACTTTATTAGGCTCCAGGGGTAGATAATCACAAGTCAGAGGCATTGGTACCTTCTATTCCCTGGGTTTCCTTCCTTCCTCGCAGAGGAGGAAGCTACAGGCCATTCCCCATACTTAGGACAAATCCCCTCCTTATCCTCCCTCACTTCTTTAAATCCTTGCCTTTCTTTAAGGTTTGACTAAGGGGCCTTCTCTCCAGTGAAAACTTCCCTTGATCCCCTCCAGTTGTAAGTTCCCAGAATTTCTTAATATTATCTTGAATATCGTGTGCACGTTGTACACCTCCATTCTAGCAAACAAATGTTTATCTCCTTATTTAGTCAATGCTTTGTTCATTTCAGATATTAATAAATGTTTGTTGAATTGAAGGTCTCATCAGCTATCACGAATTCAATTATCATCTCTATACAAAGACTCATACTAAGTTCTACACATCTAGTCCTAATCTCTACTGAGTACTATTCTTGAATCAATAACTAACTGCCTATTAGACATTTCCAACTAGATGTCCCTTAGGCATCTCAAACTCAACATTTCCCAAACAGATCTCAATTATCTTTCCCCACAAACCTATCCCTCATACAAACTTCTCTGTTTCTGTTGAAGATACCACCATTCTTCCAAATACCCAGATCTAAAAACCTGTGAGGACTGTTTCCTCTCCCTTGCCACCTGTATCTAATTAATTGCCAAGCCCCCTGTCAATCCTACATCCTTAACATCTCTCAAATCCATCACCTTCTGAAATTAATATTCACTGGGTGATGACTGGTGAAAAATACACTGAATAAGGGTAAAGTGACAGCAAAGGCTCTGCCTATGTGTTATATCCATATAATTTCCTCTCCTATAGGAACGCTGGGCTTTTGAATGTGCAAGCTTCAATTAAAAGTATTTCTACATTCATAGTCATTTTCTCTCAAGTATGAATCTTCTGATGCTTAGTAAGCTGTGAGCTCTGACTGAAGGCTTTTCCACACTCCTGACAACTATAAGGTTTTTCTCCAGTATGAATTTTTTCATGTTGAATAAGGGATGAACTCCTACTGAAGGCTTTCCCACATTCAACACATTCATAGAGTTTTTCTCCAGTGTGAATTCTCTGATGTACAGTTAGTTGTGAGCTCTGACTAAAACCTTTCCCACATTCAACACATTCATAAGGTTTCTCTTCCATATGAATACTTTGATGTTGAATAAGGTGGGAACTCTGAGTGAAAGCTTTCTCACAAACATTACATTTGTAGGGTTTCTCTCCAGTATGAGTTCTCTGATGACGAATAAGTTGTGAATTTACACTGAAGGCTTTACCACATTCATCACACCCATAGGGTTTTTCTCCAGTATGAGCTCTCTGATGCTGAATAAGTTGTGAGCTCCAACTGAAGTCTTTCCCACATTCATGACATTTATAAGGTTTTTCTCCATTATGAGCTCTCTGGTGTAAAATAAGGTGTGAGCTTTGACTGAAAGCTTTACCACATTTATCACACTCATATGGTTTCTCTCCAGTATGGATTCTCTGATGCTGAATAAGGTGTGAGCTGCAGCTAAAGCTTTTCCCACATTCAAGACATTCATAGGGTTTCTCTCCAGTATGGATTCTTTGATGTTGAATAAGATTCGCCCTCTGACTGAACGCCTTATAACATTCATTACATTTATATGGTTTCTCTCCTGTGTGTGTTCGTTGATGTCGGATAAGTTCTGAATTTAGATTGAAAGCATTACCACATTCATTACATTTATATGGTTTCTCTCCAGTGTGAGTCCTCTGATGTCGAATAAGTCGTGAGTTTAGACTGAAGGCTTTCCCACATTCATCACATCCATAGGGTTTCTCTCCAGTGTGAATGCTCTGATGCTGCATAAGTCCTGAACTACAGACAAATCCTTTCCCACATTCATTACATTCATAGGGTTTCTCTCCAGTATGAATTCTTTGATGCCGAATAAGATTGGAGCTCTGACTGAAGCCTTTCCAACAATCCTTACATTTATAAGGTTTCTCCCCAGTGTGAATTCTCTGGTGTCGAATAAGTTCTGAATTGAGATTAAAGACTTTCCCACACTCATCACACCTATAAGGTTTCTCTCCAGTATGAATCCTCTGATGTCGAATCCGATCTGAATTGTATTTGAAAGTTTTACCACAGGTATCACACCCATGGGCTTGCTCTCCCATGGTATCACTCTGGTGTAAAAAGAAACTTGGATTCAGACCAAAGTTTCTCCCAAATTCACCACATTCCTGATTTTTTTCACCAATGGAGGTTTTGTTGTAGTTTATAGCCACTTTACTGAAACCTTTCTCCTGGACAAAAGATCTCTCCAGCATCACCTTGGTAGAATTTCCCTGATTATTTTCTAACTTTTCCCCAAATGCACAAACTTCTCCAAAAACATGTTCCCGAGGAGCATCTTTTAAAGGTATTTCTGAAGTCCCTCCAGGAGATTCTACATCTTCTGAAATATCCTCTTTTTTATAAGATGTCTTGTTCTCAGTACCTATCTCAGAATCTGAAACAATAAACAAAAATGTTTTCTGTACGGGGAGAAAGGAAACTTCTAGAAGAATATAATCATTGAAATTAAGGTCTAAGAGAAGTAGATGGCTTTGATAGCCCTCAAAATTGGCTTCAAAAGCTAGAAAGAAAAAGGAAGTAGTAAATAAGGGCTGGGTGAAAAGGAAGAATGAAGTCTTGAGGAAAGTAGTCTATACTTAACACAGTGCCTGGCGCATTGTAACAACTTACCTAATGTTTTAACCTCATTTAATCTATACCAGAGGCAAAGGGAATAGATAAGGAGAGCTAGTTGAGAAGGGTGGGAGGTTTAACCAAGGGACAGACAGGGCAGAGGAGCTCATGATGAGCAAGAAGCTTAGTGAATAAACAAGAAGGAAAAGAGATGAAATGGGGCTAGATAGACAGGAGACTTAGAGAGTAGGGGCTAGGCAAATGTTGAGGAGATGAAGAAGTGACATCCTGAGCAGGTAGGTGTGAATGGTGGACTAAGGCAGAGAAACCACTGTGGGGAGCAAGAGTTAAACACAAAGTAAAGAGCTCCTTCTGACTGGTTCCATGGTGTTTATCACCTGGGTACTCCTGAGACATGCTGGGTCAACTTCTCATTCTAACAGGAGCCCTTGAAGGGAAACCAATGACAAGGTAGCCCTTTCCCTAGTCACATTAACTTTTCTCATGTTAATGGGAGGAGTGCTTCCATTTGTGCTCAGAGCCATTCCCTTCCACCATGTTACAGACCCTCCTCCTTACCCCATCTATAACAATTCACTCCCTTGGATTGCTTCTCCTCAGCCTACAAGCAGATCCTTATCTTCCTAAAGAATCTAACACTGGACATCTAACCAGCATTTGCTATAATTTCTTCTCTTCTGAGGTCTTCTCTATTGGACTCTCCAATCTGACTTGTGGCATAACATCAAGAACAATATATTTCTTACAATCATTAAAGGCCTCCTGATAATTCCAAGTTACCCTTCTTCCTTCATATTTTCCTTAATTGCTTAGTTGCTAGTGATACCTAATGCTCAGGCCTAATTTCTCAGCAACATTTCTGACCTAAGCTCCTTGGATGCTGCCTCAAATGGTTTACCTCCTACCCCTTTACCAGTCCAAGAGACTTTCTAGAAGCACTGTATCAAGCCACCTTCTCTGAGAGTAGGAGCTCCCCATAGCTCTATCCTTGGTCTTTTATTCTTCTCACTATATAGCATAATCTTAAGAAATATAATTGTTTCCCTTTGGCCACATGTTCCTTTGACATCATTGTCCTAGAGAGTTGCCTGAGGCACTGAGAAACACAGTGCTTGGCACATAGCAGGCACTTAATAAATGTTTATTTGATTGATTAATTGATCTGCCCAGGATCATACAGCCGATATGTATTAGAGGCAATACTTGAACCTAGATCCTCTTGATTCCAAAGCCAGCCTTCTCTCCACTACACCATACTGTCTCTCCAGTGTGTACATAGTAGGCTTTTATTAACTGTTTTCAAACTCCTTTGCTTGGCTTTAAAGGTCCTCCACCATCTAATGCCTACCTTTCCAACAGAAATTCAGAGTATTTTCCACCATGCACTCTATTCTCCAAACAAACTAGATTATCCTCTATTCCACAGACACATCCTAAGCTTTTCTACCTCTCTTTGTTCCCTTAGCCTAAAATGTCCTTCCAACTCTACTTTACATGCTATCAAGCCCAATTCCAATGCCACTTCCTTCATTAAGCCTTTCCTGATCCCTCAGTCAATAATATCTGCCTTCCTGCTTGGATGTCACCTAGCACTTTGTTTTGCATCCCTCTCTGCACTCAGTATACTATGTCTTATAGTTATATATTTACCTTAACCCACTACTACAAGACTGTGAACTCTGTGACAGCAGGAACTATCTTACCTAAATTCTGTGTACCCCTCAAGTGACTATCATAGAGCTTTGTACATAGGGCACTTCTTGCATAAAATGAAGGAGTTAGACTGAATGATCTCTATGTTTGTACCACCTCTGTGATTAATGGCTAAAGTCCTTTATAATCCCAAATCCCTTCCAGGGCACCCTAGTGTTGTTGTTATTCAGTCATTTGGTCATGTCCAAGTCTTCATAACCCCATAGACCATACTGTCCATGGAGTTTTCTTGGCAGATACTGGAGTGGTTTGCCATTCCCTTCTCCAGTGGATTAAGGCAAACAGAGGTTAAGTGACTTGGCCTGGATCACACAGTAAGTGTCTGAGGCTGGATTTGAACACAGATTTTCCTAACTGCAAGTCCAGTGCTCTAGCCACTGAGCCACCTAGCTGCTTCAAAGTGCCCTAGTGTGCTGTCCCCAAACTTCTAGAGCCTATAGGCTTCTCTGTGAGACCCATGAAACACACATGCAGCCAGCTGGATAATTCCTACCTAACACTCTGCCCTTTCCTGGAAATTTTCATACTCTATGCTTATACTCCCTATTTGATTCAGCTAGAGCCTCTTGCACTAGCTAGTACCCATCAGCTTCCAACCGTAACATTGCAGACAAAAAACCAAGTGGACTTGCCTGAGTAAGAATTCCCTCCTTCCACAAAAAACTCATTACCTTCAGCTTCTTCATTGAGCTACCCTAGTGTAAAAGCACTATAATTCAGGTGTCCTGTACCAAATAGAAGTGATGGAGACCTCAGTGGAAATGGATGGGCCAAGTCCAAAGACAGCTTCCTGAAGAATTAGCACTGAGACACCCTTACTCATCAGCCCGTGATCCAAAGACTAACCTTCCCAGTGTACCAATAACCACAGTGGTTATATATCCTTCCCATGTTGCCCTTCATCTTCCATTCTCCAGTTGTCAAGAATTTCATTTTCATTATGTGAGTTAAAACATACTGTAATAAAGTACTATTAATTTATGCATTCCTTGTCTGTATGATTCTTTTGTGAAATCGCTAAATTCCCTAGATACCTATATTCCTCTTATACATATTTCTGTATACTGTATTTCTCTATAATTACTCAAGGCCTCTTCCCATCATTTGATTTTCTTTTACCCCTCAATTTTTTCTAAAGCCAGTATGACTATTTTCGGAGATGATGACATAACTCCCATTGACTCTCTCTCTTTCTCTCTCTCTCTCTCTCTTTCTCTCTCTCTCAATCTCTCTCTTTCTCTTTGTCTCTCTTACCTCTTTCCAAGCTTTCCCAAGTGTCCTCTCTTTCCTCAGTACCCTGCAGCTCCAGGTCCCATGGCTCTTCTCCTTGTTCCAGTTGGAAAATCAGGTCTGGTTTGGAGACTGGAAATCCTGCTTGTGATAAAGGAAAGGGATGGGTTGGTTTGTGTTGTGGGAATTCAGAGTGTTCTCAAGGCTCAGTTCTAGTTCCCTGATCTACAAGGGAATGTCAAAAGAGGCTATGATGAGAAGACAGCAGAGCTAAGTTTTTTGAAGAGACAATATACCAGGAAGGGCAGGAGCAGCAAAGGAGCTGAGGATCTGGGGACAGACAGAAGATAAGAACTGCTCGTTCCCCTACACTAAGAGTATAGGAAACTGTCACTAATGAGGATCTTATCCCCCAAACCCAAGAATTTATGATCTGACAAAAAGCTAACACTTATGGCAGCTAGGTGGTACAACTGGGCCCAGAGTCAGGAAAAACTGTTCCACTCTTATTAACTGTGGGACCCTGGGCAAGTCCCTTAACTTCCGTTAGCTTTAGCTTCCCCAACTATAAAATGAGGACAATAACAGCACCTACCTCATGGGGCAGTTGTGAGGATCAAATGAGACAATATTTGTAAAGGGCGTTAGCACAGTGCCCAACACACAGTAGGTGCTATTTAAATGTTTATCCCCTTTCCCTGATGGAAGTTTTAGGAGCTCCCCAAAGAATAGGGAGCTCAGAGGGCAAGAAAATGGGGGCCTCAAGCCTAGCAGAAGGAAGCTGCCCATTAGCTCCTCTAGAAGGAACAGACTTAATCCCTCGAGCACAGGAAGAGCACAGCAGAGCTACTCAACAACCTAACAACCCTTGAAAAAGGGGAAAGCTAGAAAACCCCAGGGGGAATGGGGCAGATTCCAGAGAGTGACCTTACCCAGGCAGACCAGGTTCCCATAATTCTCCAGCATGACATCCCTGTAGAGGGCCCTCTGAGGAGAGTCCAGGCACATCCACTCCTTCCTTGTGAAATATACAGCCACATCGTCAAACATCACTGTTTCCTGAAACAGCACATTCCTGCTTCCTCAGAGACAATCCCCAGGCCTCCGTGGCGGACAGATTGTCACGGGGGCAGGGTCAGTGAGGGAAGAAGACTTTAGAGGGTGGAGAAAGGGAACTCTGTGCGTGTATACGGGCAGTTTTCACCACTACCTGATAGGTCTGAGTTAGCAAGGCTAGCTGTATAGAGGCTGCCTAAATTCTAAGGGATGGGATACCTGCACGTAGTCAGGTGACAGCACCTTCTTCTCTGCTAAAGTCCACTCTGTCTAAATCCCGTGGCTGAGAGCCACATTGCTGCAATCAATCTACCACTCTTCTAGGCATTTCTCCCTCCTTTCTCATGGAGCTCAGTACCTGGCTCAGCCACTGCCCTTATGTAGAGACTCCAAAATACGTGGTCCCTTGGATTTCCCAGCCTTCCAGTTCCTCCAGTTATGAGCTCAAGTTCATCGACCAAGACCTTCATTCTACTTTGGCCAAACCCAGAGGTGGGCACACTCCACAGCCACGATCCCATTTTACTATTTTACCTCCAGACTCTCACACCCTGAAACTTCCCCTTTCAACCAAAGTCTCTACAGCTTCTATTTTTCCCCTTAAAAATGTTCTAGAGATGAGTAAACACAACCAATCACTTAGAATCATTTATCAAGCATTTCCTATATAGCCACAGTGCCTGGCTACAAAGACAAAAAGAATACAATTCCTGCCCTCAAGAAGCTTACATTCTCCTAGAGAAATGTATTCACAGAAAAGTAAATATAGGGTATATGTAAATGATTTTTTCAGGGGGGGATGCTAGCAAATGGAGGAGTTAGGTCTCCTGGAGGAACTGGCCCTAGGACTGAGCTTTGAAGGGAACTAGGGGTGACAAGAGGCTGAAGTGAGGAAGGAAGGGCAGCTAGGTAGTGCAGTGGATAGAGCACTGGTCCTGAAGTCAGGAGGACCTGAGTTTACATCCGGTCTCAGACACTTGACACTAGCTGTGTGACCCTGGGCAAGTCACTTAACCCTGACTGCCTCACCAAAAAAAAAAAAAGAAGTGAGGAGACAGACCTTACTTTGAGAGGGCAGCTGTACAAAGGCCACAAGCAGGAGGTAGAACGTCACATACAAGAAGAGCAAAGAGACTAATTTGGCCAGAATGGTGAGTGTGTAAGAGGGAGTAATGTATAATCAGCCTAGAAAAGATTGTGAAGGTTTTAGTGACAAACAGAAAAGGTTCTATTTTATTCCAGAAGTAATGGAGAGTCACCAAAGCTTCTTGAGCAGGGACATCAGTCCTAATATCATTTAAGGGGAACAGTACAATGACAAGTCAGGGAAATAGGAAAGGTTTCCCTTTATGGATAACACAAGCTAACAATTCTAAGAGGTAAAGGTGAGAAAGAAGTATATTCCAGAGATACAGGACAGCCTACAAAAAGTAAAGGAGGTGGGAGAAGGAAGTCAAGTTTGGAGCACAGCCAAGTAGGATGGACTGGCCGGAACACAGGGTACATGGCTAGAGGAAGGTTGTAAAGGGTTTTAAATTCCAAACTGAGACATTTGTATTTTATCCTAGAAGAAATAGTCACTGAAAATTCTTGATCAGAAAATTCTTTATAATACCAAGTAACATCTGAGGTCCCTTCTAAGATTTTATAACTATAAGACAAAGTGATAAAACCTAAATTTATGCATTTGTTTTTAATTTTTTCATATTTGTTTTTAAAGTTCTCATCTTTCTTGCTCTTTTTGCAGGATCTAATACTTAACTACCTCTTCTTCCCAGATATTCTCTCCTTCATGGGTCATAACACTGTTACACTGTTCTCTCCTGGTCCTCTCTTCCTACCCATCTAAACCATTCCTTTTCAGCTTCCTTTGCTAGATCCTTATCCATATCTTGTCCCCTAAAGATGGATGTCCCTCAGGCTCTATTTTGGGACCTCTCCTCTTCTCTCTCTACACCAGAAGCATCAAACTCATCAAGTCAATAGAACTCCCACTTAGAACTGCCAGGTGCAGCTAAAATCAGATGAAAACATGACTGGGAAATGTTTAATAAGATATAAAAAATTCAACACAACCTAGATAATGCTGATTTGTTGTTTCTAAGTCAATCTACAGCTTACAGGGATCTCATTGCTAGCTGAATCTGACACCTCTGCTCTAGACCATCCACAGCATAAAGTGGTCGGATCTTGCCTCCACACTGCTTGCGTCCTTTCTTCATCTTTGCATTCTGTCCGCTCAAACCACCTCTATTCTAATTCGTGCCCTCACCATCTCCCTGGACTACTGCAACAGTTTCCTACTTAGACTCTTGGCTTTTGCCCTCCCTTTTTTTTCTAGGATAAACCAAAAATGCCTCAGCCTGGAATTAAAAACTCCCACAATCCAGATCCCATCTACTTCTCCTGTCACATCTCATGTTACTCCACACACTCTTTCCATTCCAAAGTGGCCTGCTAGTGAATTCCTGCAGAGAAGTTTCCAAAACCTGCCTTAGTGTTTTTATACAAGTAGTGCCCTAATAGCTGGAGTGTGCTTCTTCCACACCAATGCTTTGCAGAATCCTTTGCTTCTTTCAAGGCACAGACCAGGAGCCACTGTCTACTCAGGGCATTTCCTGGATTCCACCCCACCTCACCCCAGTTATTATCACTTGTTCTCCATTGGAATTTTGTTGTATTACTTTGTATTTACTCTGAATGTGCTTACACACACACACACACACACACACACACACACACACACACACATATACACATACATATATATGTATACACACACATATACACACATATATACATACACATATACATAAATTATATATACATACATACATACATACATATATGTGTATGTGTGTGTATATCTATATCTATATCTATATATATGTACTGTGTCCTCCCAGGAGAATGTAAGCACCCAGAGGGCAGGGGCTATGCATTCCTGGCAATGCCTGGCAGAACTAAATATTTAATAAGTGCCTGTTGAATTCAACTGGTGATTCTCATTAACTACCACGAATTCAATTATTATCCCTCTGCACAGGACTTCTGGATCTCTCTCTCTCTCTCTCTCTCAGTTCCTGGAGGAACAAGGAAGAACAGGAAACCATCTATATGGCTGAAGAAAGGAGAAAAGAGGCAGGAACAAATTACCAAATGTTTGTTGGACATCTCTGACTAGATGTTTCTGTAGGCATGTCAAACTTAACACATCCAAAACAAAACTCATTGTTTTTCCCTCTAAATAATACCACCCCTGCTCCAAATTTCCCTATTTCTGTTAAAAATACCAACATTTTTCCTCCGGTTACCCAAGTTAAACCTCAGAATTATTCTTTATTCTTTCCCGTCTTTCACTGCACTCCTTGCCCCCATCCCCAAGCAGGCATCAAATCTTGCTGATTCCAGCCCCATAACATCCTGTTTCCATTCCCTTCTTTCTGCTCAGAGGACCATCTTTCTACCTCAAACCCCCATCTCCCTTAACATGGACTAAAGCATGAGCCTCCAGTTTTTCCCCTCCCCAGAGCTGCCAAAGTAATCTTCCAAAAGTAAATTTCTAGCGGTATCTCTCTCCCTCATTCAAGAAATTCCAGTGGCTCTCTATTGCTACTAGAATGTAATGCAAAGTCTTCTTCACCTTAGCATTTAAAGGCTTCACAATCTGGCTCCAATCTGTCTTTCTAGGTTTGCTGTAGGTGATTCCTTTCCACTAGTTCTGTGTTCCTGCCAAACTCATTTATTTTCTGTTTCCTGTGCTTGACATCCTATCTCCTGTCTCCGAAGCTTTGCACTGACCATCTTGTACACCTTCTCCTCAGCCTCTTAGAATCCCTGGCTTCTTTCAGGCCTTTGCTGAGGTGCCACCTCCTATGGAAAGTCTTTTTTGATCCATCCGTGTACTTAAGAATACTCCCTCTCTTCCCTCTAGGTGTATTCCTCCCTCCTCCCCGGAAGAATTTAAGCTCTTTGATGACAGGGACTGTTTTTTGTTTCCTCCTTGCACTGTATTCCCATCACCTAACCCAGTGCCTTATACATTGTAGGCTCTTCACCAATGCTTGTTGGATTCAAATGTAAAATCAATATAGGGGCTGAATCTTAGTCTCCCAGATAGCACAGTGCATTGAGTCCTGGACTTGAAATCAGGAATACCTGAGTTCAAATCCGGACTCAAACACTCACTAGCTGTATGACTCTGGACAAGTCACTTAACCACTGTTTGCCTCAGTTTTCCCATTTACAAAATGGGGATAATAATACCACATACCTCCCAGAGCATCAAGTGGAATAATATTTGTAAAGCACTTTCCAAAACCTAAAGCATCATTTGTTATCTATTAATATCATCCCCTGGCGTGTATAAATGTTGCCTTGCCCATAAGAGGCTTTCAATAAATATTTGCTGAATAGGTGAACACAAAATAAAGTAATCTCTGTTTTTTATACACCATGGTCCATCTACTGGCAGCCACCAAATTGCAGGTATTACTTCCATGAGAAATGAACCATCTTCAACTGGGCTTACCTCATGTAAGACTAGAAGAGGGAATCTTGTCTAATGTGAGCACAAAGAGTTACAGGTTCTAAATTCCCCCTTACAGTGATGCCTTTCCTGGACTGACCTTGGGCTGATTATGCCAAGGAAATTCTCTGGCTTCCCCAATATTTCCACACAGAAGGGCTTGGGCCAAGAGAAGCCAAGAGAGTCTTGGGCCACTGTCTGAACTGAATCCAGAACAGAACACTGGGAACCCACGGAACCCATCTTTGGTCCTACTGACCTGATGATATGAGGGTGTAAACAAGCTGCATGGGGATGTCCCAGCCAGGATGGAAAGGGGCTATATAATCATCACGTGTATAACTTCTATGATCTCTGAAACAGATGGGGGAAAGAGAGCTTCCCTAAAGGAAATCATGGCAAAAACAGCCAAGAAACTACCTATATGTAGTGTCACATTCAACAGAGGGGTCTCGGGTTAGGGCTCTGCATAGGCTTTACTGAGCAAAGAAGATCCAATGGAAGAGGAGACAAAGCCTCACTTGGCAGCAGTTCCCAGACAGAATTATAGAAAGTAAGGCCCAGCTGGGGGTTGTGAACCACAATGACCGCAGCCTCCAAGCCCCATCTAGAAACAGGGCCCCAAACAGGCCAAGTACCCCAGTGACGCAGAGAGTGACCATGGGCCCTGTATTTGTTATGCCTACAATCGTGGGGAAGATGAGGGAAAGGAAGAGGTTAGGGGGAGGAACCAGGAGCCATCTCTTCAGCTGAAGAAAGAAGACAAGTGATGGAACCTCTGGAAGGACAGCTCACCTGGGACTTGGCCAGTATCGGGAACACAGCTGCCATTACCAAGCCTCCTCGGCTCCCTTAGGGAAAGGGGCAGATACCTGGGGAGCAGGCAGAGCTAAGGGAAAACAGAGGAGCCATGAATGAGACCAGACCTTTCCTGAAGCTCCCTCACTCACTAGGATTCCTCTCCTTTATAGGAAATGAGGGGGTCCTGGGCACAGCCATTTCCTTAACATTCTCCCTTTCACTAAACCACCATCAGTCACCATGACCTGCGCCCCTAAACAGTATGGGAACATGTCTGAGGCAGCATAGCAACCTATGGAAGAAGGTAGAAATAATATCCTTACAGTAGAAGGAATCACAGGCAAATAGACTAAATAGAATTGAATCTTGGATTTCCCACACTCTTTCCCTCATCTAATGTGAACAATTCATGAATTAATAGCATATCATTAAGGGAAACTTAGTTGAAAAGTCCACACAGTCCTGAGTCACATCATAGAATCTCAGAAGGTTAAGCATCCAATCTTGGTGAAGCATGAATCTTGCCTACAAGCTCCCCAACTTCTCCAGGTGGTCCATTCCATTTCTGAGGAGCTATAATTATTATGAAGTTTTCCCTTATACTAATCCAAAAGTCTATCTTTCTGTAACGTCTTCTCAGTAGTACTGGTTCTATCTTCTGGGGCCAAGCAGAGTAAGTCTAATCCCTCTTGCCAGTGACATTTCAAAAACTTGAAGATTATCATTAAGTCTCCTCTAAGTTTTCTCTTCCCTAGACATTCCCAGTTCCTTCAACCAATGCTTGCGTGTCATGGGTTTCTGTCTTTTCCCCGCCCTGGCTGACTTCCTCTGGATTGATTTCATGCGGCAAGGTCTCTCCTAAAATATGATACCGAGGACTATACGCGGCACTCAGATGCATCGGGCTAGGGCAGAGGACAGAAGGATTAGCTAACACCTCTCTCCTTCTTGCCAGTTCCCTCTAGGCACTGTTTTTAAACAGGTGTTTACCGTACCACTCTGCTCTGGGGCTAATATCTGATGTTCTAGCAAGGCTTAGGAAAAACCAACTTTCACATAGCTCTAATCCCTGGATTCTCTCTGCTTCTTACTAGGACAGGAAAAAAAAAACGGACCCATGAATAAGAATCACACAGTCCTGAAATCTCAAAGCTGGACAGGACCTTAAAAGGCCAGGAAGCAACCAATTAATCAACAAGCAATTATTAAGTGCCTGCTATGTACATTGAGCTAGGCCTTGGGATGCAAAGACAAAAAAGAAAACAGTGCCTACCAGGAAGAGCTCATAAGAAAACAGAGCTCGACTTTTCCGATGGCAAGGAATTGGACATTGAGGGGATGCCCATCAATTGGGGAATGTCTAAACAAGTTGTGGTATATGATTGTGATGGAATATTACTGTGCTGTAAGAGATGATGAGCAGGGTGCTCTCAGAAAAACCTGGACTTACATGAACTGATGCCGAGTGAAATGAGTAGAACCAGGAGAACACTGTACACAGTAACAGCAATATTGTCAGATGATCAGCTGGGAATGACTTAGCTATTCAAAGCAATACAATGTTCTAAGACAACTCTGAAGGACTGATGATGAAAAATGCCTATCCCCAGAGAAAGAACTGATGTTATCTGAATACAGATTGAAACATACTTTTTTTACTTTATTTTTCTTCAGGGTTTTTTTTTTTGGCCTATGTTTTCTTTTACAATATGACTAATATGGAAATGTGTTTTGCATGACTACACACATATAACCTATATCAAATTGCTTGCCTTCTCAATGAGGGGGGAGGGAGGGAGGAAGGGAGAGAATTTGGAACTCAAAATTTTAAAAATGAATGTTAAAAATAGTTTTTATATGTAATTGAGGAAAAAGAAAATACTAAAGAAAAAAAAGAAAGTGGGGCTCAAGCTGAGCTTTGAAGAAAGCTAGCAACTCTAAAGGACAACCAGGTGGCACAGTAGATAGAGTACCGGGTTTGGAATCAGGAAGACTCATCTTCATTAGCTGAAGCATTACTTACTAGCAGTGTGACCCTGGGCAAGTCACTTAACCCTGTTTGCCTCAGTGTCCTCATTTGTAAAATGAGCTGGAGAAGGAAATGGCAAACCACTCTAGTATCTTTGACCAGAAACCCCCAAAATGGGGTCATGGAAGAGTGAAATGACTAAAGAACAACAAGAGATTCTAAGAGGCAGTTGGTGTGGTGAGGAGGGAACACATTCAAGGCAAAGGCACAGAGACAAGAGCTGGGAGTGCCCTGTATGAAGAACAGCAACAAGGTAAATTTGTCCAGACCAAAACGTGCATGAAGGGGAAGAATATGGAATAAACCTAAAAAGGTAGGCTGGGGCCAAGTTTTGAAGGCCTTTCAAAGCCAGTGGAGTTTGTATTTAATACTTGGGATAATGAAGAGCTACACTGAGAAGGTGATGACATGGTCAGACCTGTGATTTAAGAATATCACTATGACAGCTGTGCAGAGGATGGTTTGGAGAGGAGAGAAACCTGAAACGGCAAAACTAACTAGGAGACCATTGTAATCGTCTAGGCTGGAAGTGACGGGGTGGTAGGCAAATAGACATGGGTGGAAAGGGATCAATGTAAGAGGTTTCATGGAGGAAGAAACAAAACTTGGCAACGGATATGCAGGTGCTTGCTCTGGCAACATAGATACTAAAAACCCATATGTAGAGTGAAAGACTGAGGGGTTGGGGATGACCCCAAGGTAACAAACTCAAATTACTGAAAGGGCAGCGGCATACTCAAGAGAAATCAGGAAGTTGGGAGAAGGAGAAATCTTAGGGGGAAAGCTAATGAGTTTTATTTGGGACACATGGAGTTTGAGATCCACAGGAGACTCAGTTCAGAATGTCCAGACTGTAGGGGTGGTGAACCTGCTGGCTTAAGGCCACATGTGGCCTTCTAGGTCCTTAAGTGCAGCCTTTTGACTGAACCCAAATTTTGCCTTAAGGTCAAAGGTTCACCACCCCTGGGCCAGAGCTAATAGCAAAAAAGAAAAGCGAGAGATTGAAACATGTTTTTTAAATACACAGCAGGAAGACCAGAAGCAATCAGAGACAAGCAGAGAAAAGCTTTTTAAACATAACATGTTGACTATATTGTATACTTAAAAGTTTTAACAAAAAATTTAATGATAAAAAAAGTGTTCAGAGCTGAGAATACAGTTCAAGATTACAGATACAAGTCTAGGACTCTTATGTATAGCTAATGAGGTCACCAAGAGAAAGGATAGAGAGGCAATGCCTAGAGCAGAGCCTAGGGATACATTCGCAGAGGGTAGGCTATGGACAGTGTTCTAGCAAAGGATATTGAGAAGGAACAGTCATGAGAATGCATGAAAAATCCAGAGGACAGAGTATCCAGAAAAGGATGGTCAACAGTGCCAAAGTCTGCAGAGAGATCAAGAAGGATGGACAAATCCATTCGATTTGTCAATTACAACACTTGCCAATTTGTAATTTGTCAATTACAAGATCACTGGTGCTGTTACATACCAATTTTGTTATATGGGATAGCTATCTGGGAGGAGAAGGAATACAGGAGGAAATTTAGGTAATGTATAAAAGATATCAATAAAAAAATTTTAAGGGATCATTGGTAACCCTGGAAAGAGTAGTTTCATTTGAGTAATGAGGTCAGAAGACAGACTGCAAGACTGAGAGGAGAGGAAACAGAAGCAACAAGTGTAGATGGTCTTTTTCCTCCCTGGCTTTGAAAGGGAAGAGAGATATAGTATGAGGGGATGGGAGGATCTAGTGAGGGTTTCTAAAGATAATGAGACCTGGCTGTGCTTGTAATCAGCAGGGTAGGGGCCAGTAGAGATTAAAGATTAGAGAAAGGTGGTGATAGCTATGGGGAATCTGCTGGAGGAGATGGAAGAAGACAGTATCAAGGGCACAAGCAGAGAAAGGGGTTGCACTTGACTTAGGAGATCTAAACCACTTCTGGTCCAAGCACTGAAAAAGAATCCCTTCTGCAACATCCCTGACAAGTGGCCATCCAGCCTCCACATGGACACCTGATAGAAGGCTCACTACCTGTTGGGGCAGCCTATTCCACCGCTAGAAGGCTCCAACTTTAGAGACAACATTACAGTGACACAGAGGATAAAAAACACTCCACTCACATAGAGTCAGAAAACCTGGGTTCCAATCCTACCTTAATCTTACTATGGGCAAGACCTCTCAGGGCCTCAGTTTCTTCATCTGTAAAATGGAGATAATAATACCTGTACCTTGTAGGGTTGCTGTGAGACCAGCTCTGAGAAAATGTTTGTAAAGTCTGGTAAACTTAAATCAATATATGCACCAGTTACTCTGACAACTACAAGTTTTTCCTTACACTGTACCAAAATCAGTCCCCCTGTCCCTTTACCCACTGCTCCTCATTCTGCCCTATGGAACTAGATAAAATAAATCTAATCCTTCTTTTGTTCACTGGCTGCCCAAACTGTTCAGGGGCTTATTCCTAACTTCCCCTGCTCCCCCACCCACTTTGGGGTAGGGCTGCTCAATATGACCCATTTTTGGCACGTGTATGTGTTAGATGGTTCGGCAAGGTTGGTGGGGAGGGGGAGGCAGAGAAACGAATCACCACTGACATAAATCATGGAAAATGTTCAGGCCTTTCAGAAATTTCCCATGATAAAAACATATGGCCAGAATACAGTACAATGTAAGCTCCTTGAGGGTAAGATCTGTTTTACTATTTGTTGTCTTTGCATCCCTGGCATTTGGCACAGTCTTCCATTTAGCAGGCTCTTCCTAAATGCTTTTTGGATTGGATTGGAACACAGCAAAGACCTAACATTTACAAAAGGAGAGCAAAGAGATAAGTACAGAGTATAGAGATAGAGTTAGAAGAGGCCTTGGAGATCTTCTAATTCAACTGCCCATTTTATAGCTGAAGAGGAGGATCTTGCCTTCACACAGATAAGAAGTAGTGGCACCAGAATTTGAACCCAGGTTCTGACTCCAAAGCTAACACTCACCAGTTCACTACATCCTTCATCTGTAACACCCTGTCCACGTGCCTGTGGCCATATCAAGCCTCCTGGTTACTTGCTTTCCCTTCAGTACCTCATTCACCCTTCCTCTCCACAATTATCCTCAATTTCATACTTGGGGACATCTCCTCGATCACCTTGGTTTCTTGAGCAGTCAAACTCACTATCTATGACATCCACAGACATGAGACTCCACCGTCACTGACAACCATGCCATTTCCATGTTCTTGAACTCCACAATCCCCCTTTTCGGTCATAATCTCTTATTCTTCCATCTCTTCCTCTGTTTCACTCCTGCTAAAATCTACTATTCTACATCTTCACCATGACCTCTAGTCCTTCCTCTCCTTTCTACCCTGTGATCCCTTCTCTGGCTTCATTCTTCTCACCTTGCAGTCTTGATCCTATAGATAACCAGTTCAGCTGCACAATTCCCTCCAAACCTGGGTTCTTCGCCCCCTTGTCCTACCACAACCATTCATGCCCTGTCAGACCTCACAGCTGGTTCATCCCCATTATCATCCCATCAGAGTCAATCAGGTAGTTCAATGGATAGAGCACTGGGCCTGGAGTCAGGAAGACCTGATTCAAATCCAGCCTCAGACACTACATGTGTGATCCTGGGCAAGTCACTTAATCTCTGCCTACCTTAGTTTCCTCACCCGTAAAACAGGGATGTAACAGCACCTACCTTAAAAGGTTGTCATGAGGGTCAAATGAGACAATATTTTTAAAGCACTTAGCATGGTTTCTGGTATATAATAGGCTCTAAATAAATGCTTATTCCTTTTCCTTCCACACCCCATGTCTCTTCTTGCTCCTACACCCATAGAGAAAATCATACAACCGTGGTGACTGAGTCTACTACAATTCATATTATCTAATCTTTTTTTTTTCATATTATCTAATCTTAAAAGGGCCCTTACTACTATAAGATAGCAATCTTTATATCTTTCCACGGGGCAGATAGGTGGTACCATAGATTGAGTGCTGGGCCAGGAGTCAAGAAGCACTGAGTTCAAATCCTGCCTCAGACACTTACTAGCTGAGCGACCCTGGACAAGTCACTTAACCTCTGTTTCTCTGAGTTTCCTCATCTCTAAAATAGGGATAATAATAGTAGCTTTTCTCCCAGAGATTTTGCGATGCTCAAAGGAGATGATCATTATAAAGCTCCTAACAAGAGCATGGCAGTACATAAATGTTGTCTATTATGAATGATTTCTCTAGCATGCTCCCTTCACAGCTGTTTTAAACATTCTCTTTGACCATTCTATACCTCCCTTTTTCTTTCAGCAGGTGACTTCATCTCTTATTTTATTGAGAAAAATGGTGCCAACTCATACCTCTGTTACTCCACTCCTATAAATCTTCACCTTTCTTTGCCTCTTTTGCTTTAAGAAGAGGTAGCTCAAAAAAAAAAGTAGCTCTTTTCATCAAACGCTCACCTTTCAGTTTGTACCATTAGATTGGAAACTCCTTGAGGGTGCAGCCTGTTTTTGCCTTTCTTTGTATCCCTAGCATTTAGACAGAGTCTGGTACATAGTAGGTACTTAATAAATGTTTGTTGCCTTTGTTGTACCCTTTATCCCATCACTTCTTCTTTCTTCCAGGAGCTTTCTCCCCCAGAAATCATTCTCCCTGTCTCATCTTTCATCTCTTTCTTCCTATTAATTCTTTACCCACTGCCTACAAACATGCCTATGTCTTCCCCATCCCTAAAAATTCTTCATTTGACCCTGCCATCCTCTCAAACTATCATCTTCCTTTTCTACTCTCATTTCCTCACTGCCCATTCACTATTCAACCTTTTTCAACAGGTTTCCAACCCCACCACTGTGCTGAGCCTTAGAAGTCAGCCTTTGAGGTCTGACTCCCAGATGAGGAAACTGAGGCCTAGAAAAGTGAATTACCCAAGGTTTGCAACCCAGGTCCTGACTCCAAATCCAGGGTTTGTTGATTCCTCAATGAGCCCGACTCTGTAACATACAGATAGAAAGACATCCCCACAGACACATAGCTCTGGGCTCTCCCTCTTTCTTGAACAGTCTGCGAAGTACTATTCCTAAGGTGTGGTTCTGAGTCACAACCCTCCTTTGATCAAAAACCTTCAGTGGTTCTCCAGTACTTTTCAGGTTCTCTTCAGCCTGGATTCAAGGCCCTCAACATTCTGGGTCTAACCTGTTCTATCTTATACTAGTACCCTCTAGATATTCCAAGTTTCTGCCAAATTTAGCTCCACTAACGTCTTCCACTGTACTAGAAGAAATATCTCTGCCCCACATCAGTGTAAATACTCCCTGCTCCCCTGTCCCACAGCACAGCCCTCTCAACTTTTAAATCCCCCAAACCCTTCCTTGCATAACATCCTTCCAACACACACACACACACACACACACACACACACACACACACACACACACACACATTTGCATGCACACCCCTCTAACACATGGGCATGGGCATAGGCATGCACACACACCATTCCAACACACACATATGCACAGATGGACATAAACATATCCTGCATGGACATCCTTCCAAGACATACATATATGCATGCATACACACACACACACACACACACATCTACATAAACACTTTTCCAACACACATACACATATACCTGTGTGAACACTCCTCCAACACACAGATCTACATGCATACATACTCTTCCAACACATACACATATGCATGTTTACACAATCTTCCAATATACACAGAAGCCTGCATGAACACCCAATACAAATACAAATACCTGCACGCACACCCTTTGAACACATGAATATACATGCATTATGAATGCTTACACATTCTTCCAATGTACATCCATACATAAACACCGGCCTCTCCTTGCCCCAACTCACCCAGGGAAGTCAGTTAAAAGTCTAACAACGGTCGGAAGTGGGTCCCCAACCAAATCGCTCCTCCCAAGAGCCTCCCAATGCCCCTGGCCGGAGTACTTCCGGGCCTGCTCTAGGCTGCTGGGAGGACTCATCCTCTCGCTGGTTCACTTGCCTGCTGGTGCCTGCAGACCTCTGATGGGGGAGGGTCGAGCTCCTAAGGCCGCTTGGCCAAGAGCCCGACTCCCTCCTTTCTCTATTTGGGAAGAAGTCGGGGCAGAGAAGGGAAATAGTGGGGGGCTTGGGCTGGACTCAAATTTGAGCCCCAAGTTGCTGCTCCCATGGATTGTCAACCACAACCCCCATCCCTGCTAGGCGCCCATTTCAATTCAATCCAATTATCTACACATGTTTTGGCTTTTTTTTTTTTAATTAAGTGCTCACAGGTCCAGCTCTGCAGCACTGGGATTTCAAAGATGAAAAACTATATAGTCCAGGGACTCCAAATGCTTGCAGTCTAATAAGGCAGCTATAGGTACACAAATAAATGATATAACGTAGAACATAGCAGAACCAAAGGAAAGATTCAAAGCGCTCCAGGAAAATTTAAGGCAGAGATCACTTTCTGCGGGGTGGGGGTGGGGGGATGTTGGAGAAAGTTTCCTAGAGCAGGTGGTGTCTGGCTGGGTCTTGAAGAAAGGAAAGGGTTTCAGCAAGCTGGTGTGAGAACATCAGTGCTGGGCAGTCTGTGCATTACAAAGAGGAAGAAGGCAGACCTACCTAGAAGTTTGGTTTTGCTGGACTTCAGCAGCCCATGAAAGGAAGTGGTAAGAGAAAGGGCAAATTGCGGATTGTCTAAAGTCAAAGGGTCTAGGTGGGGGAGAGAAGGAAAGGAGAAAGCACATCATAGTTTCAGGCCTTCATTCAAGGTGTTCAACATTTTGGTCCAACCTACATTGTATTACATTCCTGCCTTCAGTATATTCCAAGTTCAGGAATTTCCACTCGGGCAGCAGAGACTAAGACTACTTTGATCAGTGTTGCACTTTGAGAGTCTCTTACACGGGTGGGGAACCTATGGCTTTAAGGCTACATGTGACCCTCTAGGTCCTCAAGTATGGCCCTCTGACTGAATGCAAATTTCACAGAACAAATCCACTTAATAAAAGAATTTATTTTGTAAAACTTGGACTCAGTCAAAAGTCGGCACCTGAGGACCTAAAAGGCCACAGGGTCCCCACTCCTTAGTCAGGCATCGAATAGACTTCCTGATCACCTATTGTATTTGTTCTAGGCTATGTGGGAGAGGTGGATATAGAGACTGAGAAGCCACTTTCAGGTCTTGGAGAAACTTACGATCCATTTAGTACCTGGAGGCAGCTGGCTGGTCAGGCAACCCAAATGACTAAATTTCTGTTTATCTCTGTGTACTCACCAATGGTTAACCTAAGTAATTAAGATGATAGTGAGCTCTCCTCTATTTGCCCTTGATAAAGGGGTTAGGTTTATTGACTGGCTGTCAATAAACACTTATTGAGCACCTATTATGTGCCAGGCACTGTGCTAAGTGCTGGGAATACAAATATGAAAAAGACAGTCCTTGCCCTCAAGGAGATTACAATCTAATGGAAACATACAAAGGGCATGATAGAGTCCAAGTGGGAAATGAAGAGATGATTGGAGTAAGAGCTCTCTCTAAATGGAGGCCTTGGGAGGAAAGAAAGAGAATAAGCATTTATGTAGCACCTACTATGGGCCAGGCACTATGCTACATATTTTACAAATAAAGCTCTTTGTTCCTCTGGAAAGCCCTCCAATTAGAAGAGCAGAGGGTACTAAGGATGTTGACGTGGTGAGTGCTAAAGTTGATGAAATCTTGCAGGATGATGAGTTTCCTGATGATGAGATTTGCTGGGGGCATGACGGAATCCAAAGGAGTGTAGCCAGCTATGAAATGAAAAGTACATGACAAACAGCTGCTACACCTGTGCTTTCTGAAGTGTGACCCTAGAATGATGGGAGCTGAGTCTCAATATATACGATAACCATGATATCAAGGAGTAGGTATGACTAGGAGATACCTCCATAAAGATTCAATATCTCCTAATACAGAGAGGCAAAACCATTTTATACATTAGTAAAAATAGTTTGTGGAAATCTGTTGACCAGGGACATAACTATGCATTTGGATGTAGCCCCAAGAATCTTTGGGCTGTGCTGCTTTTCCCATGGGAAAAGGAGGGCCAGGATGCATGCGTATGCAACCTAGAGTGTGGACAAAAATTGGATGACTGAATACCACTCAGCCCTTTCTCTGATGAACTAGCCTATTTAATGCAACACTTCTCCCTGGGCAACATCACTCCCTGACTACACAGAAGATAGAAATTCTTCCAATCTGCTTGGGACCAGACTGGGACCAAGGAGGTCCCAGCAATGATGGAAGCTTTGAAAAAACTCCTGGTAGGAATCCTTCCTGAAATACACCAAATATAATGACTATACTAATGCCCCAGGCATACTTTCCTGTCTTTTAGATTTTATTAAAATTCTCTATGTTAGGAAGGTTTTATTCTTGTTTGTATAAGTGAGCAACTTTTTAAAGAACCGATACAACTTACTTGGAAAGAGCACAAGTAGTGCAGCTATGGATTTCATCTGTCTAGGGAAAGAATGTCATGGTTTAGGCAGGCTTGGCCTCTTCTCCCAAAGGGAAGATAGGTAGATAGATGCAACTGAAATGGATGTGATGAGGTGCTTGTGCTTGGACTTGGACCCCAATTTCTCTCTAATACTGCCTCTGACAATTTCTCCCAAGCCCAAGGACACTGTGCCTAGCAATTACTCATGAGTGGGCTCCAGCAAGACCCTTATCTCTCTCTCTGGTGCAGCTACCCAAAGCTGGGTGAGAGAGTGCTGGGCTGCTCAGGCCCTGGCCCTAAGATTATGTCTCTTGAAGCCTCCCAATTCCTTAGTAAGTTCCTGTCTTATAAGAAAACTTTCCCTTGTTGCAGAGCATTCTCTAATCAGAACAGAGAGGTCTGGCCCAAGGAGTTTTTTGTTTCTGGCTGGCCCGGGGACTCTTCCTCCTGCCAGATTCCCAAGATCCATGCTTCTGACATCTCCCTCCCTGTCTGGTATACTCCCTACACTTTCCCATCCACAGCTCCCAAAGACACCTAGACCTTTAGATTACCTAATCAGTATCCCTGGCATTCCTTTCCCATGTCCTTTTCCATATAAGCCCTAGCTCCATCCTCAATCTCTTCCTTAAGAATCCTTGCTCGCTGAAAAGCATAACGATAAACTTTTTGCCAACTTGACTTAATGAATGCTTGAGTCTGTGAATTCATTCCAGACGACCCTGTCCTGTACTCCAGTCTTTGAGGGGTCTCAACCTCTCAGACCGAAACACATGCAGGATCAATGGACACAGGTTCTGATTATTTAGCATTGTTGTATTCGTGAAGTATCTAAGCTCTGCTTATGCTAGGTTGGTGCCTCCAGCCCCCTTTGCCCGTCTTAATATAAAACAGTACTATCCCTAAATACTGTTAGTAATCAGACCTACCCTGTAATTCTGGATGAAGCTGGTTTTTCTGAAAGTATTCCAGAGCTACATTGCCTCACAGGGAGCAGATACAACTGCCAAGCAAATAGATGGCTAGTAAAGTTGATTAGCACATGCATTCTTATATTTTTAGTACCACATTCACTATGGGGGGATCTTAAAAAAAAAAGACTTGTACTATACTGCATATAATCACAGGATTTCAGACCTGGAAGGGACCTCAGTAGCCAGTCTATATGAAAGAAATCCCAACTATAACACAGCTAACAAGTGGCAGTCCAGTCCCTCCAAGGAGGGGAAATACACCTCATGAGGCAGCCTCAAGTGTGGCCCTTTGACTAAATCCAAACTCCACAGAACAAATCCCCTTAATAAAAGGATTTGTTCTGTAAAACTTGGTGGTGCATTGGATAGAGTTCTGGCCTTGGAGTCAGGAGGACCTGAGTTCAAATCCAGCCTCAGACCAAACACTTGACACTTACTAGCTGTGTGACTCTGGGCAAGTCACTTAACCCCAATTGCCTCACTAAAAAAAAAAAAAAGCAAAAAAAAAAAAAAAGGGGGATGAGACCTGCCTCAGTCAGGTTCCAGCATCAAAGACCTGATGGGGCCAACCACAGCCACAGCAGCTAGAGCAGGTGCCCAGGGGGAGGCGGGCAGGAGGAGCTAGAATCTTCCTCCTCCACCCACTAACCAGCTTCTTGGCCTCAAAGGCATCTCTCTCATCCTGCAACCTTCTGTTCAAGTCCCTCTTTCTGCTGCTGGCTGGCCCGATCTAGCTCTTGGTCCTGATTCTGCAATTCTTGCAGAATGTGACTGACCCAGTCTTGACGGGAGGAGTCCTGGTTCTGCAGCCACTCACGTTCCGCACAGATCTGCTGTTCCATTTCCTTATATAAACACCAAACTTCCTTCTCATGCTCACTCTCTCGCCTCCACAGGGCCAGCTCCACCGTCTCCCTCGCCCGCACTGCCTCCCCCAGGCAAGAGGACACCTGTACCAGGACCTCCTCAAAGCTGCCCAGGAGCTCTGGGCACTGTCTCCGCAGCTGGGCCCACAGGGCCCGCAACTCACACTGCTCCCCCAGGATATGGGTGGCCCCCAGCTGCTCCATGGTGGCCCAGAAATGGTCTTCCTCCACTGCAACCTCTTCTTCCTCTGATGCTCTGGGCCCTGAACCATCAGGCCTGCCAGACTCAAAGGTCTCCTCCTCAGGCTCCACAGAGGGGGAGCCCCCGGGGCATGTCTGCTCCCACAAATGTTCCCATTTGGATTTAGTCAAAAGGCCTCACCCAAGGACCTAGAAGGCCACATGTGGCCTTGAGGCCAAAGGTTCTCCACCCCTGGTAGGTGAAGGGACTACCTTTCATTGTGTTCAGGTGGAGGAAAATGATCACTTGAACTTTCCCTTACAATATTCCCTCTTAACTGCGGCTGATGTTACAGCTACTGTTTCCTACTTGGCAGCTGCTGCCCTTTCTGTGGTCACCAGTGTCTCTTCTTTTCCCCCATCCT